GAGAATTAAGCTGGCCTGCGCAAGCATGCTCCGCTCTGCTCCGCTCTGCTCTGGGGTGTCGAGGTTTCTCGGGGCAAGAGCAGGTAAAAGCCTTTCCCAAGGGCACCGGGCCTGCTCTGGTCGCCACTTGGAGGCCTTCTCTTTGGCGCAGCAGAACGGTGGCCTGGGGAGTTCCCCACGGGCCGCTGCCGCTGGGCTTTTGTGAGCGCGGGGATGGGGCCGATGAGCTGTTCCTCCCCCAGCCCTGTGTTTCTGATTGCTGAAGACACCCTGGGAGGCTCAAATTACGATCCAGCGTCCTCCCCTTGACATGAGGGAGGCCCACATGACTGAGAGTCCTTTAAAACACAAAAGCTGTTTCTTCCCGTTTAAGAAGCCCGTGAACAAGCAAGATTCACCACCCTCTCTTTACATGATCTTTTTTTTAAATCTGTCCCCTACAACATCTTTGAGTATGTGTAGAATTTCTTTACCTAAGCAGGTCCTCCTTGGTTTTTTAAGAAATTAATTAATTCTTTATTTCCATTAGCCATATGTCTTTGCATAAATATTACGAAAATATAAAATCAGCATACTAAGATCATGAAGAAAATTCATATACATCAGATCCAATGCAAAAAATTAAATGAGTCTATTGAAAATGCAAATTTAAAATCATATTTGACCTGATTTTAGTTGAGGCTGCTAAAAATGTAGCTGACTATGCCATCACCTGTTTATCCCGGTCCCCAAGAAGAACGAAACCACAGAAGTCAGAGGAATGACCTGGCTTCGTGACTGGGCAGGGGCAAATGAACTCTTTATGGGCACCTCCACTGAAAGAGCAAAACGGTAGTACAGGGGCAAGGGCCCCAGCACAGTCCCCGCGAGGGCATATGCGACCTTGCAATGGACCTCCCCTGAAATGATCCTCAAGTAACACTAACGGCACGGCATTAAGCCACGCACACGTTGAGACCCGTCTATATTTCGGGACTGTTAGTCCTTGCAAATACCGTGCCATTGTTTCTGGACAACTTGTTAAAAAGCAGTCATACCAAGACATGATTTTTCAGGGGCAGACAAATTGTTTTGATGTTTGATATTGTGCAGGCACTGCTTCAATAAACTTCTTGCCTGGCCATCACCCATGGTCAGGTGGGCAAAACATCGTTGACTGTAATAGGACCCTATTGGCTACCGGGAGGCTGCCTTGCTCGCCTGGAGGCAGCTGCTGAATCCCATGCTCCGCACTTCAGCCTGGGGTCACAGGGGCACAACAGATGCTATCATGCAGTCTTCCCTAAGTGGGTGCCCTCAAGGCATGCTGGTTTCCCCCAGTGGGAATTTCAATTCAACACAGATGCATTAAATTAAAATAAATAAGCATGTCTCAAGGGTGCCAGGATCCGGAATCCTGCTGAGGTCCCTCTCAGAAGAGGCGTGGCTGAGACAGGGTGCTGCGCCTTCATAGCTACGTGCCCTGGAGAATGCACAGGTGTGCGCTTTAAAGCGAGTGCGCACGTGCCAATAGGACAAAAGCAGCACACGAGGCCGCGCGGTTCGCTCTGGCCAAGGGGCCGTCCAGCCCCCTGTTCCGGGCACACAGAGGCAAGGCAGCTGCCCACAGGCATGGGTCCAGGTCCTCCCCCTGCCCACGCTCCTCAGCACCTGGCAAATGCAGGCGTGCTGCTTCGAATAGTGAGGGTAGCAAAGAGCCAGAAGAGCTAGTGGCCATGAATAGCCATCTCTTCCATGAATTTGTCCAATCCCCCTTTAACGATTGAGGGTCAGTTGGAATTCTCCATGTCCAGCAACCTTGTATTTGGACTAAGTCCTGGAAAGGGTGGGAGTACTCTTCCTGGGAAGGGGGACCTGTTGTTGTGGCTTTATCTATGCCTTTGGGGGATGGGGGGGGTCCTCAAATGCACTTTGGTGGTCGTGAAGGCTGCTGTCTTCTGGCCAGACCCTGAATTGCCTTGGATCAGGGCATCCTCTTTCATCCAGAAACCTGGATCGACAGAACCTAGCCACTGGCACACACAACTAGATTACTGCAATGTGCTTTGCATGGGGCTCCCTTTAAGATGCTCTGGTGAATCCCACTGGCCCACAATCAAGTGGTGCAGGTAGTAGCAGGTGCCAGCTCACATGCCCACTGACACCAATTTTGTACACACTGCACTGGTTGCCGGTCGTAGCCCAGGCCCAGTGTAAAGTGCTTGTCTCGACATATGGTGCCCTAAACGGCTTAGGACCTGGCTACCTAAAGGACCGACTGCTCCCCTACATACTTACCTGCCCATTAAGATCCGGGCAGAGGTCCTTCAGTAAGAGCTGCCCAATAAGGAGGTGTAAGGGATGGTGAACAGAAGAAGGGCCTTCTCGGTGGCTGCCCCTTAACTATGGAATCGGCTCCCCAAAGGAATTCACCTGGCGTCAAGATTATCAGTTCAGTGCCAGGCAGAGACATTTCTCTTCTCTGAGTATTTTAACTGATTTGAGATCTGTTATTTATACTTTGTTGTCCTGCTTACTTGATAGAATCATACTGTTTAGTGCTTAAAATTGCTGTGATTTTATTATAACCAGTTTTATTGTTGATGTTTCTAGTATTTGTAATTATTGATTTTATTGTAAGCTGCCTAGAGAATCCTTTTGGACTAATGGGTGATATATAAATTTTAAAATAAATAAATACATAAATAAAAAGCTCCTCCACATGTGCCATTGTTAATTAGGGTGATTATGTCTCCTACCTTACGGAGGGCAGTCCTGTCTGAAGGTATCAGTTATTTGAAAGGCTGTTCAGTCCAAGTCCAGTTTAAAGCCAGTAGGAGGGTTCAGGGGCCCTGAATGGCCACCCACAGGACGGCACAGATGGAGCAGCGAGCACAGCGGCCACCTCACCCCAGTTCCCGCACCATGATGAGCTGCGTCGCAGTTAGTCTTTTGAAGTATGCTTGGAGACGTACACACGCACGCATTCTCTTACCTTATTCAAAATTCATTTTAGCCCACTTTTAAGGGTGGAATGCAGGGCTAGCAGCTTTCCCTTGCTGCTGTCCAGGCCTCGGCGAATGCCAATGGCTCGGACCTGTAACTTTGGTCCTGGCTGTTTGAATCCTGTATTCAGAAACCTTGGAGCACAGGCAGGGGTAGGAAGCACCACCTGAGGGCCACAATCTGTTCTGGGAAGTGCTCAGTGGCCACATTCCTTTGACAGGGCCAGCATCCTTCAGCCTAAAGCCCTTTATTGTCAGAAACTTAATTTGGGAGAGGGGTTTTAGAATGGGAGGAAAAGCCGAGAGACCAGCAAACAACCAGAGGTGATGGAGAAAGGATCATGGCTGCCCAGGGCACCCTGGAGAACCAAGCTGGGACTTCGGGAGGGCTAGATATGGCCCCTAAACTTGCAGTTCTACCCTTAGCCACAAAACCTTTAAGGGAGGAGTCAGGCTGATTCTGTTTTAGGCTGGATTCAGACATCATGCCAAATCATAGTTAAGTAAGGTCTGGCATGATGGCCGAATGGGCAACCCACAAATACAGTCACCAGTGGCTCCTGCACCATAGAAGTGGGAGATCCGGGAAGCCAGCCACACAGCTGTAAACCGTGGTCGGTCTGTACATTTGGAAACCAAGGTTTGGGTGCTAACGCACTTAGCAAATGGGACAACTTGGGGCATGCGCACGGCGTGACAGAGGGCCCTTGCGCAAGACTCCCTCTGGGGACGCCTCCCTCTGCGGGGCACCCTTCTCGCTGCCAGTGCCATCAGCTGTGATTCCAGTGGCAGCTCCTGCGCTTCCTCAGCATCAGCGTGAGCAAAAGGCAAACGAAGCAACCGGCTGTTTTGGCGGGAAGCAGGAGCAGCTCCAGGGGGCTCCTGCCTGTGGGTGCCTGCTGGGGCAGGTGGGCCCTCACAGGTGCCCAACCGTGCCCGCCTCTGAGGCCAGCCCTGCTTGTGCGCAAGGAGCTCGCACCTCCCTGGGTGGGGCAGATGGCGGTGGCTGGGGTTCGGGAGCCCAGAGGGCAAACTATTCATAGGAGGGGGACTTGAAATCAATCAAGCTGATAGGCAGAGCATGCCCAGAGTATGGTCTGAGAACACCCAAGGCACCCACCATGTTGAAGCTAAGCAGGTTCGGGGGTGGGCTGAGCTTGGCGGGGAGACTACCTGGGAGCCACATGTGGCCACCTTGAGTTCTTTAGCGGGAAAAAGCTGGGGGATCAACAGAAGGAACACATACATACGTACAGGTAACGTTCCCCCTGCACATATGTGTGCTGGTCGTGACCGACTCTGGGGCCAGTGCTCATCTGCATTTGTAAGCCGAAGAGCCAGCACTGTCCAAAGACGCTTCCCTGGTCATGTGGCCGGCATGACTAGATGCCGAGGCGCACGGAGCGCAACTGACTTTCCCGCCAAAGTGGTACCTGCTTGCCTGCTTGCATGGGCCTGCTTCTGAATTTCTAGGTGGGCAAGAGCTGGGACAAAGCAGCGGGCACTCACCCTGTCAGGCGGATTCGAGCGGCCGACCTTCCGATCAGCAGCCCAGCAGCTCGGTGGTTTGTCCCCTGTGCCACCTGCATCCCTACGTGCATGCATACCAACACTGATGAGGTGCGCCACCCCGCTGCACCATCCCACCAGGCCCAGTGCCAAGGACCCGTGTGGCTGGGCACCTTCCAAGGGCACAGGCCCAAGTAGGGACTGGCGGGGAAGGGCCCAGTTCTTTGTGTCTTCGCCTGCCTTTTGCTCCGCACAGTCCAAGGCGGTGCCGAGAAGGGAGGCCACAAAGTGCCGCCGCTGTCCTGCTTGCTGCCCTTCCACCTGTCAAGCCAGCGGGCAGCAGCCACCAGGAGAAAGAGGGGAGCACCAGGAGCAGCTGGGGGCCCCAGCAGTGAGAAGACAGGCTTTCTGGGAGTCCATGAGGCTGCCTTGCCCAGGGGTCCTCCCGAACTTGGGTATGCTCTGGCCCATGCACAACTTACAGCACCGATATCCAGGATTACTTACCTTCCATGCTGAGGTTCCTTGATGGCCACATGAAGTGGGAGTTCCAGTCGCCCCGCAACTCGTAGCGGAAGGCCGCGATCCGGCGGCTGATGTCCTGGTGCAGGGTGGACTGGAGGAAGAGGGCAACCTTCTCCTTGGGCAGCCAGCTGAAGCAGCGCACCTTGGGCTGCGAGGCGGCCTCGGCCTCCGCGAGGAGCAGCTCCAAGATGCCGTCTCTCTCCAAGTAAATCTGGGCTCCCCGGAAACCGCTGGACGACTTGATACAGGCCGTCACGCGCCGGGGGCTCTCTTTGCTGGTGGCGCCCGTGGGAAGGCGGGGGAAAAGGCTCACGTGCAAGGCTCCTGCGGGGTAGAGCCACTCCAGGGACCCCTCGGCACAGTGCAGAGAAATCTGCTCCACGCTGCCCGCTTCCTGGGACAGGCCGCTGCGGACGAGAGTAAGAGCAGCGTGAGCAGAAGGGCGGAGCCTTGGCTCTGAGTCCTGCCCGACACTGTTGCTTTCTAAGCCACCGGAAGGCAAGCTGGCGGCCTTCGGATATTCTGGGCTATGGCAGGGAGGCGCCAGAGGTAAGCATGGCTGGACAGTTGTCAAGGTCCCAGACCCAGCGAGGGATCCAGGGAAAACAGCCCCTTTGCTTCGCTTCTGCTCTTCCCCATGGCAGCCGCCTGCCCACTAGCTCCTCCCTCTGTTCCAGACCGTGGTGGTGGTGGTGGTGGTGGTGAGGAAGAGGAGGAGGAGTGGATGGGGATGACGGTGGTGAGAAGGTGGGCTCACTGGAGCAAGGGGTCTTGCCCAAAACCCAGGACTGGCACTCGCCACAACTTCCAACAGCTCCAGTAAAGGATGATGGGAATTGCAGTCCACAAACATTGAGAGTGCGCCAGGTTGCCCAATCCTGATTGAAAAGATAGCAATAACTGGCAAATTAACATCTAGCTATATCTATAGATATTTACCATCATGTTTATTTTAAGCAGAACGGAACAGCACCTTCGTCTTTCCCCTTTGCCAATGCTCCCCCCACAATTTTTGGCAGTTCACAAGTGGCCACTCTATACTTCCGCTGTGTAAAGAAATATTCAAAGTGGGTCCAGAGCAGGCTTCAGTTAGAGGGTCATGGCATCCCAGCTACAGGGCTGCGCAAGGTGCCAGGTACTGACACCAGGTGTGTCCTGGGATGTCTCTGACGGAAGCCTTGCTCTTGGCATCGGTAGCTTTTCAAGGGCAGTTTGAAGTCCTTCCCCATCTGAGCCTTCCAGATGGGCTGGACTACCACTCCCATGAGCCCCAGCTGGTTGAGGTACACGAGGAACAGCACGTTCAACCCATCTGCAGGGGCCAAAGGAGGGCTGCTGGGAAATGTCAGGGGTGACTATTTGTCCCTCTCTCAGGGCTGATGGCTGAGACCCCTTTGGTCTCCCCTTTCCGATTTGCTTCGGAGGGAAAAATCTTTACAGGGGAGGCAAACAGGCGCGCCCCGAGGCTCTCGTGTCTCTCCGTTCCCGCAGCGTTTGTGGCTTCCAGCCGGGGCAGTTGAAAAGCAGCGCCGTGGCGACCTGCCTATGGCAAAGCTGCCCCGATGCCCCCTTTCCCAGAATCTGTCCACGTTGCCCTCCCTCCCCCCACCCACCCATGAAAGGGAAGCCATCTCTCACACTGCAACGCAATCCAGATGGCTGCCTTGTGCCGTTTCACAGCAATATGGACTCATCCATTGTCCTCTGCAAAGGATCTCAGTTGTGAGAAACAGATGTTGCAGCTGCGGCTCCAGCAAAGCATCCCACGCAGCCCTGCCGATGCTGCCCCCTGGAGGCCGCCCAGAAGGGGATTCCTTAGCATGAAGCCTCCTCCAGGAAGGGGGCCTGGTGGGTCCCTTTGAGGGTACCCACTGCAGCACAGAGTGTTTACACACAGGACATTGGACTCCCCAGGTTTGTAAATCTGGACCAGACTTCCCCAACTCAGGGCCCGCTAGAAAGGTTGGACTGGCAGAGAATGATGGGAACTGCAGTGCAAAACATTTGGAGGGTGCCAGATTGGCAAAAGCTGGTCTAATTGCCCCCCCCCCCCCAGATCTTATGTTATTTACAACTATTTGCCTCGGAAGGGTTCTTCCAGCCCGTGTGTGCGTGTGCGCACGCATGCGTCTTTTAACATTCTGCCTAAGGAACAGGTGGAAGGAGAGAAGCGAATTGCCAGCGTGTTTGCCTTTGGAGCCCGTCACTCCGATCCGCTGGTTACTGAAGTGTGGATGGTGGATTGCCATCCGAGGCATCTGGGTGAACGATACTGGGCAATCCAAACTGACCTCTGTGATTAATTAGTGTTCCTTTAGTAGCTCGATGCTTTTTCAAAGAAGAGTTCCATTCAACAATACGTTGGCTGTGGGATAAGGAATTGGACTGAGACGCATTGCAATTATGCAATGGAACAATAGTTGCAGAAATCCCCAATGTATTTGCAAAACAAAATCCTAAGGATAGTCAATCCTTTCTTTAAAAAAATGAATACATTCTGGGTTTGTAGTTTAACTTGTAGGTGGGTTTCTTTTGCAGTTTTACTAGGACTGAAAAGAATGAGAGCAGATGTATGTTTAAGTAATAGCATTTCTGGGGGAAAGCTGTGATTTATTGAGCCCACTAGGACAAATGGAAAGCTTCGTGAACTTTGAGCTTGATTTAGTCTTCACTGCAACTAATCTGTGGAGAGACAGTCACATTTGTTCCAGTGCTCGGTCTTATGCTGGCTTCTGGAGCATTGTAGTGAACTAACCACAACAGATTCCTTTCTCAGCACTGACGAATGCTCCCCAGAATGGCCATTCTCATAACCAGTGGTGGAGTGGCAGGGGCCATGGACACGGAGATGGAGAACACTTCCAGGAGTTTTTTCCAGAGCTGCTTCGATATCCTAAGACATCCCTGCCAGTGATCTTCGCTTCTCCAGCCCCCCACCATCTGCCCCCGAAAGTCTCCTGCTCATTCAAAAGACTCCACCTTTCCTCCCTTGATGCCCCATAGGTTTGGGAATACACCTGCATGATGTCACCGTTCTTGTTTTCTTCCGTTCCCCCCTGAACACCAACCTTTTCCGTGTCCTACTGCAATTCCTGCTTAAACAGCCCCTCCGTCCCTGCCTCCTGCCCCGAAATCTTCAAGCTCTTCAGTCCCACACCTCATCCAGACCCCCAGCCTACGAGAATGGAACCCACACATAGTTGGTGTTTAACCTGCATGTCCATCTTTCTCCTTTTGCCTCTCTTCACCCATATTCTTCTCTCCCTTTCCCTCCAGCCTCATCCCTTCTTTCATATATGAAGAAACAACGAAGGAAGAGAGGTGATAATGCTGGCGCAACCCCTCTTAGGCCAGGATGGAACCCAAATCTGTGACCTATCAGTCGAATAACCAATCAACTAATGAGAACGATAACGATGAGAAGTTCTAATGAAGCCTATGCATATGTGACTGAACTAACGGCATGAGGCTTCTGTTTACCTCTGCTTCCACTCCTCCTCCTCCGCTTCCTCCTTTGTTCCCCCTCTCAAAGTAATCTACTTGGGGCAGAGACCTGTGCTTTTGCACTCTGTGAAGCACCATGCATGTGGATGGGACACTAGCAGCAACCACCACCACCACCGTAAACGGCCGCATGAGCTCTCACATCAGCTGTCTGTGCCTCGACAGCTGAAGTGGTCCCACCACACCGCTGCGGTGACTTCGGCTCTGTAAGGGAGCAAGGTCTGGCTCTGCACCGCCTCTGGCAGGGAGCAGCTGCTGGAAAATGGGGAGCAGGCTTTGTAAGGGGTCTGGAGCAGGCACCTCTCTTTAAAAAAAAAAGGGGGGGGGGCTTCATGCTTCCTTAAGCCATTCCCTCTCCGCTCCATGCCTTTCTCCTTTCCCTCAGCCTCCCAGGGCTGCCACAATCAAGTGCAGACCGTGGAATCACAGAATGTCCTTTGGAGCTGGCACAGAAACCGCTCGTAGAACGACGAGCGAGGTTCCTTGCCTGAGATGCCTCAGGATGGAAGAGGATTACAAAATCAGGGGCAAGTCACCCTGTAGGTGAACTGGATCTTGCTCATCTTTCTGGGAAACTGTTGTCAAAGAATAGATTTCAACCACTTTCTCCAGTCTCTCTATCAAACTATTTCCCATGAAATATCTGAGGAAGGTCACACCCGGATGTTGGTCAGAAGTACAGCCGAGCGCTACAGTAACTGCGCCAGAAAACGGAAAGCGAGCGGAACAGCCTGTGGAAAGCACCCTCAGGACAGGCGCGTCCATCCTGCAGGCGTGGAATTATTATCGCCGAACTCCCTGCGTCTGGCATCTCCTGTTGCACAGCTATGGCGCTTAAGATGAGATGCAACAGGTCTGAAGGCAGCTACGGCCGGGAAAAGAATAAGGGTAAGGGTAAGGATAGGCAGAAGGCAGTTCTTTGCGTTGCCAGCAGAGGACAAGCGGCATTCGTGGCTCCCACTTTTATTTCACCATGAAATGTTCAAACCCGGGACCGGGAGCACTCACCTTCCCCGCCAGCTGCACTGATCTTTAGAGTAACTGCAAAGGGCCGTATCCAGAAGAACCAGGCAAAGAAGCCTCAGCGCCAAGGTCATCTTAGGATCGCTTCTCCCGACCGAGCAGGAGGGTGAGGCGGGCGCCCAGGAAATTAAGCGTGGCCAAGCGGGTCCTCCTGCAGCGCCGCCCCGCACCTCGGGCGGGCGAACAGCGCCCGGGGCTCTTCATCACCCATCTCCGCGCCGCGCTTCCGCGTCCCCTGCCGCCCCGGGCAAGGCTTCCCTCCAGCCCCTCTGCAGGCCACCGAAGGGGGCCCTCTCGCCTCGCCTCGCTCAGGCAGGAGCCGCCGCTGGGGACAAGCCGGAGCGGCCGCTCGGAGCAGCCCCGCGACGCTCGCGCTGGATTCGAAACCGCCGAAGGCGCTGCAGGCGCCCCGTCAGATTCAAGCCGCGGGTGGGGAGGGACTGGCTGCGCGGGGGGCGGGGGAGCCCGGCGCCTCCCCAATCAAGGCCAGGCTGGGGCGCTTGCAGCCAATTGGGCTGTGCTGGGAGGGAGGGAGGGGCGGGCGAGAGGCTCCTCTGGACTAGCAAGCAGCGCCCCCCCCTTTTTTTGAACAATGTGGAGAGAGAGAGATGGAGGGGCGGGAGGGGGCAGACATAAAACCTCTGTGAAACCCTTCTCGTCCAGATGTGAGCAGTGCGAGGCAGACAATAGTGCGGCTTTTGGAGTTTGGAGTGCCTTTATTTTATCTGAAGTAAGTTTAAATGCGAACATATTAAACAAAAAGGAGTGCATTTAAAAAAAGAAAAAGCACTCCCAATTCCTTTCTCACCCACTAAGTTTAATTAGATATTGTACTCTTGCACAATGCTCTACAAAGGGGGCAGAAATATTTTTTTAAAACAAAAAGGGGAAACACCTCACCGTGTCCATTCGGTGTAACTATCCTTTCTTGGCAAGTTAAAAGTTACAAGCAGCCCGAGGGAAGTGGAGCCAGCTGTAGTAACTTGCATTTGACGGGACTCCTCTCCCAGCCACAATCTTCCAAGACAGGACAATTGCCACCTGGGGCTTCCTTTGACTGCGGCCTTCGAGGGAGGCTTGGTTGGTGGCAACAAGAAGAAGGGCCTTCTCTGTGATAGCCCCCGATTGTGGAACGATCTCACTTCTGAGGCTTACCTGATGGCAACTTTACTAACCTCTAGGATGGTCCTCTAGGCTGAGGCTTTTAATGGCTTAAAATAGCACTTCAGATGGAGGTGGGTTTTTTTTTTCCATTTGATTTAGGAGGCTGAGCTCTAGGAACTTGTATTATTTGTTGTTGTTAGTTGCAAAGTCATGTCCAACCCATCGCAACCCCATGGACAACATTCCTCCAGGCCTTCCTGTCTTCCACTATCCCCCAGAGTCCACTCAAGCTCATACCAGCTGCTTCAGTGACTCCATCCAGCCACCTCATCCTCTGCCGCCCCCTTCTTCTTTTGCCATCTCTTGTTCCTAGCATCAGGCTCTTCTCCAGTGAGTCCTTCCTTCTCATTAGGTGGCCAAAGTTTGTATTGTTTAGGTTGTTAAAATTTACTTTTAAATATGTGATGAATTTATAATTTTACTGTAATTTATGTTTTATATTGTTGTATTGCATTTTATTAATTGCTGTATGCCACCCAGAGAGCTTCAGCTATTAGGTGGTATAGAAATAAACGTATGCATAACTAACAGCGTTGCCATGACCTCTCCTGCGTTTCTTGCCCCACCATTTCTCTTCTGTGTTCACAGCATTCCCATATTCATTACTTACTTCCAGTCCAGAAGTAACCACAGAACCAGCCACATACAATTAAAATATTCCATCAGTCCCGCCACCCCTGCGTAGGCTGATGCTCAAGATCATACTGGTTCCTGTGATAAAGAGAATTTTTACCAAATTTCAGGTGCAAACAAACACATGATAAAAAATGCACATACCTTGTCCAAAATAAAAATGCATCTTTATTCACAAATAAGTTGCGCTGGAGGGCCAACCCAAATGTTATGACAAAGGTGCATTTTATTATCTTTCTTTTGGACATGCACATGGTAGGCATGTCATGAGCAGAGCCAGCTAGAGGTGGGGGTCAGACTAGATGGACCAGGAGGCCCCTTCTGACTCGCTCTGTTTCTATGTTTTTTTCAACTGATTGGGTTTATACTGAAGGCACAGCATGGGGATCTGATCCAGTTGGGAGCCCAGGTTCACCGGCCTGCTGAGAATTCCCTCCTCCACTGCATTTTAACCTTGAAGGTGCTGTTTGCAGTTTTTGGGAAGAATCAGTGAATGTGGAGAGGATCAGAACCCCAACATTGTGTAAGGGATTTTGCACGGCTTGTGTTTCTTCAGGAGCTGCTCTTTCATCTACCCCATCGTTCCACTGCCGCCTTCCCCCCTGCCTTTCTTTGTCTCTGGATTTTCCTACCCTGCTTTCCGAGGAGTGGCCATTCACACTGCAAAAGAGCAGTCCAGGAAAAGCTTGTGATTGCCCCACAAGTAGATAAGTTGGCTAAGAGGAGGCCAGTCTGCCCTTGAGATGGTGCTTTCAGCCCTTCCTTTGAAAATACAGGCAGCATTGCAAAAGAGTGATTGTGTTATTCTTTGGGGAAACGAGAGGGTTCATTTCCAGGACAATCCAGGAGCATCAGCTAGTGCCACCAACTTGCAAAGACTTCCGGTGTTTTAGACTGCAAGGCTTTGCAAGTTTAGGCAGAAAAAAAGATCTGCAGCTCCCAGAATGCCCTGGGCAGCTTAGCATCACCAGCGGAGACTGGTAGCTCCAATGTGAGCAGAACACTGAGCCCTCTCTCTCTCGTATTCTGCACCTTAGAGGAGCTACTCATAGGGATGGACCTACCTGGGGGGCAGGGTTCAACATGGTGGATGGCTCCTTGAAGGCTCAGAGTAAAATCCGACATGGATGCACAGCCACAATGACAATGGGGCCATTGACTACCACTGGGTGTTGCTAGGCCAGGCCCACGGGCACTTAGCCCTGACTCTCCTCCCCAGAGCTCTGCACGTCTATTGATGCAAGTGGAAATAATTTTTTAGGTCGATTGCTGTGCAAAGGGGATTAGCATGCACGAAGGGCCAATATTCCCCTCCCAAAGTCTCTCCTCGCATGGCAATTGACCTCAGGCAGAACCATCCTTCCCACTGGCCTGGGCTGGCTGAGGCCCTCAATCTTTCACGTGTCTGGCAACACCCCAACCAGATCTATGCCACCTCTGTGCTTGGAATGCTCCTTCACGGTACAATCCTGCTCATGTTCAGGCAGAAATAAACAGGTCAGTCAGCTCGGACAGACTGGGAGTGGGAGGCTGTGTCTCTGCCTAAACTTGCGCAGGTGAGGGTGTGCCTCATGGTCTGGAAGCTTGAGTTAATTATCAAGGGCTTCCTCCTGTACCCTGACACCCCCTCCTTCTAGCACCCCCTCCTCCTTCCTACGTCAGCTGGGCTCCAGAGACAGAAGGCCTTCTTTGGACCTGGCATGTGGGACGGGATTTTCTGACGATCAGGGAGGATCGGCTCTTCTTTGAACCATACCAGTGCCCATCATTGCGAGAGGACAAACATTTGGGCAGCCAGAACTGGCCACCAAATAGTTTGGAGGGGGAGGGTGCACAGAGGCAATTCGCAGGCAAGGATGGAGAGGATCCATACCCAAAAAGCAGTCCGAAAGAAGGGACCTTGCTCACGGCACTTTCGCATTTGAAAAGCTGGCTTGCAGGTGTGGAAGTGGGACAAAGGAAGTGCATGTGACCCACCCTGCATGATCGCAGCTGGGGAAATGGACCCCATTGGCTGTTCTAGCCCATTGCCCATGCTGGGGGGGGGGGGAATCCCAACAATCCTTAGTCTTTCGGTCGTGCAAACCCAGCCAGGGTGCCTTTTACTAGGGAACAAACCATCTAGAACCCATGGCTTTCATGAAACCCATGGGCTTTCAAGCCATGGCTTTCAAGGGTTCTGGTCTAGTTTGGCTCGGGGTTTTTTCCTACCAATTTTGAATCTGAAATTTGAATTTTAGTTGCTCATTAGCATCAATTAGTTAGTTTAAGGCTGTACCTCATATGGAGGAGTCGATCCATTTCAGGTTCTTCTGCACTGGACGTTTTTCAGTCTCAGGTTCCTTCTTTCCCAACAAAATGTTGTGTTCTTACCAAAAGCAAGCTGGAATGAAAAGGTCATCCATCACATGCAAGAGGGAAAGGAGAGGGCCATTTGCACTTGCCAGCCAAGCAGGTGCTCAATTGAAAGTCCCTGTCAGAAAAAAATGACTGCCAACTTAATTTAGCACCATGAACATGGCTGAATACACAGGCACCTGGTTCACGTGGAACAGCAGATCGTGGCTTAAACAACCCCAGGAAAAGAATGTGGGAGCACTGCCTCCCATACACCTGCCATTTGCACTTTTAATTAACAACCTATGCTTGGCTGGGTTGTAGGCTGTTGAGTGTGATGTGCAAACTTGAACCAATGGGCTGTAGAGGGGCTAAACAACCCAGACATTTACTCATGGTTTGTTGTTGCTGCTTAGCGTCTCAACAGCCCATTGATCTAAGTCTGCGTGCCGTGCTCAACAACTTGTGAATGAGCCAACTGTAAGTAGTTCTAAGAGCTAGACCCTCAAATCTTTTGGCCTGACTGGAAGAATATGCTCATTTTGGTTTTTCCCATGTTCACATTTAATTTCCAGTTCTTTTTGTCCAAAATATGCATTATGTTGCAAATTGTAATCAAATTAAAACCTAACATGAACAAAAGTCTCACTCATCCTTAGTTACACCTCTTTCTCTCCATCTTCCTCAGTTACTTCCACTGTGGAATTAGAAAGGCTGTTTGAGCATCATTAGGATTGTTTTACAAGGGGAAAAAAGCCAACTACCTTGATTAAGAACCTGATGATGTAACTAGTGTTCTGTGTGACTGGAAATTTGCCTGGATTAGACCCAAAGGTATTCTTATCCAAACTTTTTAAAAGCATGCAGTGATGCAATCCAGTCACAATGCGTTTTAAGACCTCTGCAAACATTCAGGAAAAAAGAAAAGAGGACTGCAACAAAGCTGTTTTTGTCCCCTAACTGCTGCCTTT